CGCGATGAGCCACTGCGCGGGGTCCGGGACCGTCTTGGGCGCGAGCAGGGCCCCGAGCACCCCCCGCAGCTCCTCGCCCTCCTCGCGTGCGGGGAAGGGGTCGCGCTCCAGGACAAAGGCCTCCAGCCTTGGGCGGCTGAGGTCGGGGTTCCCTTCCCAGTGCGCCCGCAGTCGGACGCGGAGGACGTGGCAGAGGTGGTCCTGGAAGGAGGGGTCGTACAGGGGGCCCCCCCCCGGTTTTCATGGCGGCCGGGCTCGCGCCGAGGTAGGGGCAGGGCCCCTTCCAAAGCACCCACAGCGCAAGGCCCGTCAGCAGCGTCGTGGGGTCCCGTTCGAACTGCGCCTCACAGGCCTTCGCGAAGGCGTCGTTCGCCTTGGGGTTCCCCGCCAGCGGGAAGGGCCTGTCCCCGGGGACCCCATCGCCTGTGGAGGCTTCGGCCACCCGAACCAGGGGTTTTTCGCGCCCGCACTGGAGAATAACCTGCATGAAGGCATCGGGGTCAAATTCGCCCTCCGTCGGCTTCACCATAAATTCGGAAATTTCTAAGAAAAAACTACGCAGCGCGGTGGCCGGCGAAGCCAGCCTTTCCGCATAAACCACAGCACATAGGTGAGCAAGCCTTATTCGAACCGCTTCCTTGGCTTTGAGGAGATCCCCGCTGACGCCAAGGTAGGCACGAAGCTTCTCCAAAAGATGCGAGGAATCCTTTATCGTCTCGCTAGAATCCTTCTCAAGAAGCGCTAGGGCCTCAATTCGACTTGTGGCTGCATTAGCATCCACCCCATTCACCACGTCATCACAGCGGCGGAGTAACCCCACGAGTTGTGCGATGGTAAAGGTTGTGCCCAAGAGGATTTGAAAGGATTTGACTAAAAAATTCAAAAAGCTCTCTATATTAGCTTCTTCATATACGGAAAACCCTTTTCCCGCTATGACTTCGTTATTGCACGCCTTATTGAATCGTTGAGGGCTGTCAAGTATACAGATGCTAGGTGTTTCAACATCCCACAAGACATTGGTAAGGTTCAGTGAGGCGGGGCTCTCTTTCCAAATATCGTTTTCTGAAAGGATTTCAATACGCTGCGTCTTATTACTCATGCATGAGGAGCTCACTATAAAAAGCTTCATATCAGGCTGCCCTTTTATGGATGGCTCTGCGGGGTTCAAAATGGCGATAGGGCGCATGTGAAAGGCCCCATAAATAGACTTTTTAAGATCCTCCAGGATGGATCCATGTCGTAGATGACACATAATAACTTGCTCCCGACAACCCCAGCGAAAGGCGGATTGAAGGAGTATATTCACGGCGTCGATATTGATTAGCATCGGAACAGCTTCGAGTGAAAAGGTATGAGGCGGCGGCTGGGAGAGGGAGGTAGTGATGGATCTCGCTTTTAGACTGGTGCTGCTACTTTTGGAGCCTTCCCTGTCCTCTGTCTGCTTTGATGTCGCTGAGGAGAACCCCAACATTGATATCGTTTCGGCCTCCTCACTCCTCGGCGGCCGTTGCCAAATCACTTGATTTCCGAGCTCGTTGGGAGGGCTGTCCGGATACCTTTGCGAAAGCAATGACATGCTGAGTAATTCGGTAGCAAAAGAAGTTGGTGGACTCGACAATGATTTGATGGTTTTTTTTTCAGGTCGATTTGGAGGCACCTGCGCGGCAAGCGCGTCTCGCTTTTGGCATCGTAAGGGGCTTTGGGATGGCGCCCCGGCGTTTTCCGGTAAAACTCCTCGCATTTTCATGACATTTGTAGAGGTGGTGATGTTTTCAGGGGAATTGTTCCTTGTTTTCGGCGATGTGAGCTTATCGCCACCAATGCCTTCAATGGGTGAGTTCGGCCTGTGCGTTCGGTGAACCACCTTGGGCGAAATGTCTGCACTAACGTTGGTATTCGTATTCAAGGGTGTTTTAGGAGATAATCCGTCTTTATTAACTTTTGCTTCGAGAATATCGTTTTTTGGGGTTTCCTTTATCGGCGACGTCTTGTTCAGATACGGCTGTGAACGAGTTGGAGGTGGTGGTGGTGGTGGCGGCGGCGGAGAATTCTCTACCGAAGGCGGCACAATTGTGTTCGCGCGAACTGAAAGAGGTTGTCCAGCTTCTTTTGATAACACCAACCATTCCCGCAGCTGCCCGAGATTATCTAGAACAAAATCCCCTTCACCAGAGTGCACAACTATGCATACAGGCGGTCTGAGGGATAGTGATTTCGCGACAACCTCCCGGAAGTCCTCCAGCACGGTAGAAGAGGTTTTGTAATATTCAAAGTATACCTTTTGAGAATTCCCATTTGAATTGGAGACTAAAACCGTGATTGTGTAATGGGTTGGTCGGCCTGAAGAAGTAGGGGCAGATGAAGCCGTGTCTGAAAAATGATCTTTGCATTTATCTCTCTCTACTACCGGAACATTTTCTGTGGACTCTAGGGGTACTTCTTTATTACACGCTTTCTTTTCGTTACTATTCATGGACTCTGAAGACTTATTGTTGGGGGATCGAGGCGACTTTTCGGTAGCGAACAGTCGTGGACTGTTTGCAGGCGTACCCGGCTTTGGTAGACTATGTAACTTATACGTCAATTTGCACGCCTTTCCGTTTTTGGCATGGTCTACCAACCATTCACGGGCAATCTGATTGTCTGTAATCGGTCCAATTAGCACGGTGTTTAAAATACCCTTGTCCTTTTCTTTGTCTTTGTAGGGTACAAAATAAAGAGCAAGATCCGCTTTTAAAAACGACAACGGCATTAAATTCATGGTGCTCTTTATCGATCGCTTCAGCGCATGAATTACCTCAACCGGGGGGATAACAAGCATCTTTTCAACCACCTGTGCTTCTGAGTTCGACTTATTCGCATCTAACGGCGGAAATATTAGTAGTTTTACAAGTTCAGAATCAGTGAACTGTGGAGATAGGATTGAATTTACATTGGCACTGTCCTTCAAGGATACGTTAAAGGTTACATCTTTAGGTGTCTTAGAGAAAAAAGACACCAGATCTACATTTTTAGAAACCTTTATACATTTACCTCCATTAATCTGTGGTGAATTTATTGTAAACTCGAAGGTCGTGGCTTCCAAACGCAGATCATGCGAGCGAAGGAACTCGATAGCTTCATCGATCGTCCTAGGGGGGTTGGGAATAGTAAAAGATCGCTGAGTTACCTCTTTCCCCATGCGAACAACCAAAACACACTTGATATCAGCCATTGTATATAATGTAGGTAAAAAATATGTTATTTTTGCCAATTTTTTGTGTGTATGAAGCTAAAAAGAAAAATAAATTTTATGATGCGCTACGTTTATGTATGACCTTTATATTATCATATATGCACGTATAGAATTTTTTAAAATGGCTCTTTTTGAAATATATCTAGCTGTTACTCTTAGAAGATCTAAATAGGACCTTAGAAAATCTAAAGCAGGTATAAAAGTAATAGAAAAAGTTAAAAATACTAAGTGATAAATTTTAAATGACCAAACATATTGAATTTTTTATCCAAAAAAAGTTCATCGTTCAAAGACCAAGGTGGTTCATAAAGTTAGAGTTGAGGTTATTTGATGCGCTTTTACTCACCTTTTGTTTGATGTATCACTGTAAACAACATAATGTACATCGAATATTGCTTTAAGAATTAATATTCGGAGATAAGACTCTACAGAATGAAGCATTTATCCCTGTATGGATAAAGGAGGTGTGGAAAAAAAAAGTCGATCACAAGCGCTTTATAAAAGGAATAAAACACCCTGGTTTTAACCAACTAACATAAAACAAATACCAGAGCAACTCATTTTTGTTTCCATGTTTCCTTCCTTTTCTATGTTCACCTCTATCTACATTTGATTTAGTAATGCCAAAGCAAAGTGGTCTGCGGAAGGGGCGTGAGAGTACTCCCGATACTTCTTTCACCAGTGCGCAGCTGTCGGTGATACCAGATATATAAAAACTCAGACCAATCTACGGTTTGTCCACTTGTCAACCCTAAGAGGCTTTGCAAATAAGTAAGATCCTCCTCTTTTGGCATTTGCTCATAAAGCCATACATATATATCTGCGAAAGAGCTCACCTCGACGTAGCCATTCATATCAGTGTCATTTACTGTTTTTGAGATGGAAACATCGAACGCCAAAAATGCGTTTCGAAGCGCAGATACTAACGTCGAGGAGTACTTTACCCCTTCTAACATCACCAAAACGATAAACGCCTCCCATGAGACCCGTTCGGGCGGCTCCCATTTGGTTAAAGCCGTCCTAAAATTCGAGATATCATCACACGCCGTGAGATCCTTCCCCTCGATGTGCAGTTTTTCCCGAAATCCATCCACTACGGCCTCTCTGGAGATGCAAAGATCTTCCGCCTGAATAGACCGAAAGAAACGATGCATCGCGCGGAGTTTAATCAGCCGCGCGTGATCGCCAGGGCGTCGCACGCCCCCTTTCGCGACAAACGTCATGGTGGAATTCCGCCGCGTTTGGCGAAAAATCCCCTCCGCGAGGTCATCCGGGATCGACGTTTGGTAAAGCCAAATTGAGGTCAACTGGACGTTGGTGCAGACGGCCTGGGCCAGCGTCATCCCCCCTGACCATGAGATACCGGCATTGCGACTCAGATCGATAGCGCGTAGGCTCGGGTGGTGCATCGCCATCCCCGCCAGATCCCAGATCGACTCGTTTTCGAGGTAGTTGTCCGCCACCCCGAGCGTGCGAAGCGAGGACAGGCGACGGCACAACTGCAACAGCGGGGGCAGGGCGTTCCGGCCGACATACGTCCGGGCCAGGTCCAGGCGGACGACCTGGGCCCAGCCATCAGGCAGACTGGGCAGCATCGCGAGGACGTGCGGGTTCGCCTTGCAGCGGTGCTGCGTGGAGAGGGAGCGGTAGGCCGCGCGCGGCGAGCGGTCCGCAAACTCGCGTTGGAGCGCCTCGGCGTCGTAGGGCGCGAGAAGACTCAAGCGAGGATCGCCGTCGACCTCCATCGCGGGATGTGGGAAGCGTTACACCGGGGCCTGGGCGGTCGGGAGGGGCGAAAGGCATAGAAGACTCTAGTAGTGATAATATGAGGTGGGAATAAACCGGTATGGGGAATGTTACAGTTTGTGTTATTGGTATTACTCAGTATAGGTAAAGGAAAACATACAGTACGTGCATTCAGGAAATACAGAACGTGAATAATGTTGGGTTAATATCTTGTTTTTTTTTGATAATACGGAATAAAATAGAAAAAATTGGAAATTATAAATGAGGAAAAGTATAATTTTATCCGCTCAAAAAAAGCCTTCTACAATGTATACATTATTTTATAATAAATAATAAAAAAGACGCTGTGGAAGGGTGGAAACCTTAACTGAAGGAGCCCAAAGGGTGATGAATAATATCATTCCCATAGACAATAATAATAATAAAGACTACAATCAATATAATGTTAATGAGTTTTATTTTCTCTATCCTGCAGCAAACAATGATTGGTAAATAAAATTTATGTAGAGCGACCATCCTCTGAGCTGCACTGTGTTGAAAAATCCACATGATTTTATGACGACGCGGATATTTAGAAAAATTGTTTTCTCAGATAACTCACATATCCCATAATACCTCATCGGATACTTTGTATGATGAACGTCTTGCTAATAATTTACCGTGAAGGTTAAAGGCCATAGGAAATGGTGAATTGGATCCTACTTTTATGCGCAGAGGATTAATGCATAAACCTCACGACGTGATCATTCTTTACACTACCTTGTGAATTTTCAAAAATCACTCCGGTAACCCTTTGGACTTTTATAATAAAGACTAAATTGGTGGAATTTAGTGTAGAAATTTACTACAGGAAAACCTAAATCAAACAAAAGTCAATAAATTTGATAAAAATAGCTGTTAAAAATGTAGATTTGACTGTTTACAAAAGGGAAAAAGGGGGAGGGGGGAATCCTTGGAAGAAGAAAAAAAAGAGGAAACATAATGCTGAGAAAATATATTAAACGTAATTGCCGTTTTCATGTAGAATGTTAGTGGATTAGCTGTTAGTCTTCGTATATATTAAGCACTTGTACAACTCTACAGCTTCGCCCTTCACTTTCTCTTTTTTTATTTGTTGATTCAAATCTCACTTTTAGAAAGCTGATACCTACCCTCCTGACGAACTTTCAGAATCAAATTCTCTATGGATACATTATTCTTTTCCTGAGTAGAAAATCGACTCCATTCCATTGCGGCGTCGGTAAAAGATGTATTCGCAAAGGTACCGCGAAATAACCCGACGAAATTATTATAAATACTTGAACGACGAGTTCTTGTTGAATGTTTATGGCTATTGGGAGAAAGAGGAGTACCGTGGCCTAAGCTTTCCTCCTTCAGATCATTTTCCTTGAGGTAGTGATCAACCCATTTGCATTTTTTCTTTATTTTAGCAATAGGTTTGTTTATGCCTTGTTTGTCATCATCCAGGTTAGTACAGTAGGCAAAAATGCTGTAGGAGTTGCAATGTTCAACCGCGAAATGCCCTCGCGCATCGACCGCGCAAATCACTAATTTTTCCACATCCTCGCTGCGGCTATTCGGCAGCCCCATTTCTTGCGGAGACGGCGATTTGATTTCATGGCTTTCTAGAGGGTATTTAAACTTCGAGGTATCCCTTACAAGTACCGCACGACGTCCAAAGCGGTGTTTAATAGATACTGATGCCGTTTTACATCGATAAAAGGATCGATTTATTTCAATATCCATCACGTATTGACCTTAAATTATTTATGGAAAGTGTTCATAAAAGATGGAGCTCAAAAGAAGGTAAAAATTGAAAAGGAAAAGAAAAAATAAAATGGATATATCAGCATATTCTAATAGATATGACAGAATATACCTATATATTTCTATAATGAGCTTGTCAACTTGATAGAAGACACTAAACACGATTTGTAAGTTTCAATTATTTAAAAGGGATGAATAAAGACTAAAATCCATGGAAGGGATAGAACAAAAGCAAGAATATCATTGATACCTTTTTTTTAGAGGGGGGGGGAGTGCAAACCCACAACGTTATTCTGCTTGCTGACGAAACACAGATAAAAGTTCTTCACTGATAGGTGCCTTGGCGCGAACAAAATAGGCAATAAGGTAAGCTTTTTCGAGTGCACAATCCTTTTTGGTTTTGCCCTTTTTATTATCCAACTCTTTTTGTTTGCTGATCTCTATAGCGCGATGCGTAATTTTTTCCACAAGCCGCTTTTCCATCCATAACTCCGAGCTTATAGACAGCAAAAGCAATGAGGCGACGTCGTTTAAAGAGCTTATATCCGCACATTCCGAAATCCCTCTTTCAATAAGCTCGTGAAATAATGCAGTGAGAATTGTGGTAGCGGTAGGAATTCGAGAGCTATAAAGCTCCGTAGCGATCTCCACAAGCCGCGTGAGCGCCAACGGTGGAAGGCGAACTCCCTCCAAGAGCGATTTCGAAAAACCAAACCGAGGTGTGCAAAGCAGCATAAAGGCCTTTTCCAGCTCCCCTACTCCACACCGCACACGGCTTTCCACGCATTGCACGAGCACGTGGGCCTGATGTTCGGTGATCTTAATCGTCGAGGCCTTTTCATCCATAAGAAGACGAATGTAAAGATCCAATACCGCATTCGGCACACCGCTGGAGCTTTTCCCGGCAATAAAATTTATTGATAACCACGGCGCGCAACTTACGGCTCCCCCGGCGTGCTCTGGAAGAAGCGTGCCGAGTTGTAAAAATCGTTCAACCTCTCGTAGTAATTCGCATTCTTTTTTATTATTTTGTACAGTTAAAAACTCCAATTGCTGTGTAAGATGCTCATTAAACTCGAGAAGCGTGGGTGCGGGGGCGAAGCAAAGAATGTTCTCCCACCGAGCAGCCTCTAAGGCGACTAATAAATGCGAAAGCGCAGCCCAATTTAGGTTTCTCCTGCGCTGCACGAAATCTACGCAGGCTGAAAGTAAAACATTACCAAAAGAAGAGGAGGAATTTAAAAGAGGCCTGAGCGCACCGTGCGTTTGGCAGGCCGCAGTAATCAAATCAACACATTGATCCTGCGGTGATAGGGCGCTGCTGCTATCACTTTGGAGCCATGTTTTTAAGCAAGTCGTTGTGATCTCTTCCATTTGAGTGATCATGCTCTGGATTTTTGCTTTCTGCGCATCGTTTGTAATTAAATCAGAATTTGGAGAAGGTATTTTAGGCTGATTTTGCTCTTGAGCCCAGCTCGCAGTGAGAGCTAGAACCCACAACATTTTTCCATCAACGCCACTAGGTGCTTTGATAATTTGTTCAAAGCATTTATCGCTAAGCTCGAGTATGAAATCCATCAGCTCGGCACGCTTTGGATCTGAAAAGCTCATTGACAACAAAAGAAAACAATCCGAAGAGGGCTTCGCCGCGGCGACGATCTGCCAAGACAAAAGCAACGCATAAAGGGTTTCGTGTGGATTTTGAATCGCATCGGCGTTCGATTCGGTAATTCTTCCTATACTTCGTAGTACTACGGCTTGCACAGGCTGAAGCTTCGGCAATTCATTATTGTTTGAATCCTGAAAGACACCATGGGCGTCTAAGAGATAAAGAAGCTGCACCCCCTGCGCAGCACTCAGGTGTTTATGCGAAAGATACTCGAGCAAAAGTAATACTTCATCTGCTAGTAATTGCGCCGCTGATTTCGTATTTTCGGAAGCATGGGTGGAAGTCCATACGTTTTCTATAATTTGTAAAAGTATTTCCACGCTAAACACCCCTGCTCTACGAAATAACCGCAGTCTCACACTTTGATAAGAATCCACACCTTCTAATGAATCCCTGCGAGAGTTCATCCCTGAGTGTGATGTCAATCCTACTCCTAAAGTGCTTCTGTGATTATTTAGACCATGACTATTATCCACAATGTAATCCAACGCTAAGGTAATGTCCTCCTCCTCGTAGCCGTGAGATTTAAAAAGAGCACTCTCAACAACATTAAGTAGTTCTTGTTGGACATCGCAGGTGCAGTGTTTGCAAAACAGGAGAGCTTGCAATACCGTAGTCTGGCTCGTGGAATTCATTTTTTTATACCAATAAAGGCAGCGATAGCATGCTTTCTCCCACAAACCATCCTTTTCCTGCGCGAGTGCCGCCAAAGACCATAATAAAAGCGCCACTTCCGTTCCCCCAAAGCTCTGAAGGCGCTGTTGTATACACAAAAGCAGATTTGACATAAAGGCAAGCGTTAAAGGGGGTTTGATTATCGCCATGGCGTAGAGAGCGGCGAGCAGATCACGTGAAATCCAGTTTTTCATTTCGCTGGAATCGAAATTTTCATCCGCACGAAGCAGTAAAGGATGCAAAACGGTTTGAACGGGAATAAATGAAAGCCCTCGGTTCACGCAGCGGAGGGCATTGACGAATACTTCGGATGTAATTTTTTTATCAGAGGGGAATACTTCCAGGAAGGTAAGAAAGCCACTACAAGCGGTTTTGGCCGCACCCATAAAAAGTTCAGGGTTTGAGCCATTTTCTTTTGTAGAACGTCTTGCAAATACGCAAATAGCGTACGCGATAGAGGATATGTTATGAATTGCATCTAAAGAGTTTAAGTTCCGCGAAGGCTTCGCAGTATAAATTGCTACTAATTTAGTTGCCCGTGAAACCAGTGCAGAGAGCACACGCGGCATTACGTTATTAAATAATTAAAGTCTTAAATGAGTGGGTATTCGTTCCCTGCCTCTTTCGAAATAAGTTTTTATAAGTCAATTGAAATTGAATGAAGACGCCGTTTTTTCCTTCTATTTCACTTCTCGGAAAAATGGCAGGTCGATTGATATGATTAAGTATATCAATTTGTCTCAATACATGTACTCATGGACATGACTAACATATATTTGAATTAAACTTAGTGTTATATTTTTCTTAAAGTAAAAATGGGTGATGCAAGTTAAGTATATCTGTAACATGACAAGCTGAAAAGAGGCGTATAAACGCAATCTGAATATCTTCATCCCCTTAAAGGATTCAATTAACTTGTCGCTGACCTTGAAGTATACTAATGCATAAATCAATATTCCATAATGTCTTTCAAAATGAGGAGCACACTATGAAGGCAGCTCTCTGTTTATATTGAAATGCAAAAGTACTGGGTACGAAGTGTACCCTTCCGTTTGCATTCCTAAGCATAGCAATTCTAATTTTAAGTCAGCAGCACAAATGAAAACATGAACGCATTTTTAAAATTAAGAAAAGCTAAAGATAAAAAAAAGCAAATGTCATGTATGCTTTTTAACGTAGTGTAAAAATTCAATGGAGTATAGAAATTTTGTAAAAATCCAGCATAGAGCGATCTGGAAATCCCATGGACGTAATCAACCTCAGAAATTAATAGAAATAGAAACAAAAAGTTATGGCTGTATTGCTCAAATAGCTTATATATCCAATAATTTATATTACACCTTCCTTCCCCCAGAACATCAGTTTTTTTTTCAGTTTGTGGTGTAGTGCAGATTCAATTTTGTGCTTTTCGCACCCAGTACCCTGAGCAAATCTTGATCATAAACATGAAAATGGTGTAAAAGTGAAGAGTAAATTGAATATTTTTCAACAATACTGAAATGCATATATTTTCTATACATAATATAATGCAAGATACCTCCATTCCCCTTACAAGCGCCCTTTTGTATTCAATAAGTTTGCGCTAGTCTACTTTCCTTTTTTTCCAAGATAGCGTCGTGCTATGCACTCAGCACACATGCCATATGTTAAGTGAATTGAGGATGTGAAAAATGTAATATGATGAAACTTGTATGAAAAAAAAGAAGCGATAATTGTAATACCTATGCCAAAGCGTGGACCCTTTCCTTCTTGCTTTTTATTATTATTACTCTCAAATACACTTCCACAGGATAAAGTTCTTCTGTTTTTAGGTTGATTCCAGAAATAATAATAATAAGAAATCTGAACTAAACTACTGCTGTGGGATATAGCTTTTAAGAATACGAAGAGCTGCCGAAGGTAAACGCGGAAAATAGAGGCTTGCGGTTACACTATGAAGAGACGTCATCGACAGCCAGCGTGAGATGTTCTCCACAAGCGAGATTTTCGTGGAAAGCTTCAAAGGATATCGATACAATTCATTGGTATACTGTACCCTATCCGTATCATTGTGGGAAATTTCGCCACCTAAGACGTATAAAGCCTCCCGGGCCATCGCGTAGCCCAGGCCGCTGCGAGGGGAGGGGCGGCCGCTATCAAGCGAACCTCGCCAAACTTCCTTCCAACATGGATTCTCCTCTGTTGTATTCAACATCCAGAAATCATCGTAGTAAACTGTGCATTTATGTGCATCCCCGCCAAAAATATACACACACCCATCTTTCACTCCCATCGCACACGCATAACGCCCTGGAGGCCGCACAGGACTAGCGAGAAAAGGCTGCCACCAGGTATTATTCAGAAAATCATAGCGATAAATCCCTCCAGAGTACGATTCCGGCGAATATGGATGCTGTCGACTTGGTTTATGGTAATACCCCCCAAAGACATATAAAAAATCCCCCTCCACCACTGCGGCGTGGCCGACGAGGGGGAACTTAATCCCCACCGACGCCGACGGCGGCGGCATCTTCACCTCTTGCCAGGTGTAATCGTTGAGGTCGAGGTACCAAAACATCGCACACGTGTAGTTCGGCTTCCCCATCAGCACGTACATCCGATCGCGGTAGATATGGGCGGAGTGCATAAGCCGCACGCCGGGCCCTGCCGGCTCCGGCAGCGCCTCGTGCACGTAGGCCCAGGTCCACGTCTGCAGGTCAAGTTCCCAGACGTCGCTGAAGCAGGCCTGGCCTTCCTTCGCGTGCCCGCCGTAGACGATCATGCGGTGCTGGTAAACCACCGCGGAGTGGCTCACGCGCGGCTGTAACAGCTCGCCGTTCAGCGTGTCGACCGCGCGCCAGGCCGCGGTGTCGAGGTCGAGGACGTAGACGCGGTTGAGGGTGACCGGCGCGGGGTCGTTACTGCCCCCGCCAAAGGCGATAAGGTAGCGGTCCTCGTAGGCGACGAGGCTGTGACAGCAGAGGGGAGGGGGGGGGAGCCGGTGGTCGGGGGCCGCGCCCAGCGGAATCGTGGGGCCACGCAACGGCCATCACCGCGCATGGGAGGGGTGAGGATCGGCGTCGGGAATTCTCCTCAAGAGACAGGAAGGGGGGGGGGGAGGGAGGTCTGGGAATAAGTGCGACGCACGCGGGAATGTCCTTTAAAGAGCCGATATCAGCTTCTGAAGCTAGTGATAAATCGACCAATGCCGATTTCGGGGCTATTCAAATGTACTGAGGGTGTCGTGTAACACCCACACGGAGGAAAGATAAATCAGGACAATTTCCTTCACGTAGGTTAGCCTATTTGGAAAGGAAAACGATATGGTATTTATAATAAAAGACAGAGGCCGGAATTGAAATGAAAAATAGAAATATTTAGCCGTGGAATACGTTTTCCAGGAACATGAGGTATCCTCCAGTCTCCATGACTTGAACATTTAACGATTAGTTTATTTATTCTGCTGTTTGTGAGCAAAATCAGAACCTGTCGGTTACAGCTAAAGCTTGGGAAGAAAAGGATTCAGTTCATAAAGACAGCGCGTTTAATGCACTCCCGTCGATCCCGATCATCCACCGCTTGGCTGAGCAATAAAATCCACATAGGGCATCCTGCTATACAGGGGGCACCATTTTCAGCAGAAACACACCTTCCAAGGACAGAAATATCCTCCAAAATACTCTCCATCGTTTCATTTTCTTCAGTGGAAAGCCTCCCGGCATCTTCCTTATTTAATTCAGTCATGAAACCAGAGCTGCTGGAAAGCTCTGTTGTCAAATGAAGCGTCCTCACTTCTTTAAGGCGCGCTACAGCTGAACAGAGCAACTCTAGAAAAGGCTGCTCAACGTTTATTGGGTTTAAATTTGCTGAGGAAAACTGCCTTTCAAATAAAGCGCGTAGGCAGCGTAGGAGGGCATGAAGTCGCTGTAAACCATTCGGAAGACTGAACAACGTATTTGGATAAAGCAAACACACGATTAAACTTATCATGATCTCCACAGAGGCGCGATTTGCACTCTCCGCGAGCTCCTTGCACATCTCCCTTTCCAGTACGCAGCATAAATCTTCTGTGGAAATGTTGTCAGGTCCACCAAAGCGATCTAAATAAAATCGTAAGGCTTCAACTCGGAATGTACAGCGAATGGGCAATGAAAGGGGCTTTGAAAGGTGAAAAATAAACCTTAGATGATGTCCATTCTGTAAATACCACGACCAAATCATGTCTTGATATTCACTTTCAAACATCCCCCCACTTTCCACTAATAAAGAAACTACACTTTTAGTGATGCGACTAGACGCGCGATCAAGCAGAGTTTCTTCAATGGGAGAAATAGACTCCACAAGACGTAATAAATACCGAAAGGAATCATTCGAATCGGGCAAACAAGCGGCCAAGATTTCAACCTGAGTGCAAGGATCAAGTTCGCAAACACCCCTCACCATATCCGAGAACACTGGATGAGTTAGCTTTTCTTCCACTAATTGGGCTAAGCAACGCGCAATGCACAACCTCAGCGGTAGCACACTTCCCACAGTTATTAAACACCTCCATAGCACTTCTATTATGCGTGGAATAGATTCCTCCAGAAAGCTACTTGTTCGCATCATATCTGAAAACTTTGGTTGAAGAGGATCCACAAGAGTATCTGCAAGGGTTGAAAGAATAGACGGCAACCGTGTTAAATCTGCCTCAGTTGCGACTTCCAGCAAGTCCACGAGGCGTTGGATAAAAAAATGGATTTCCTCTTCACTCCACATGCCTATTCGTCCACTTTTCGCATAGCGCGCGCTTAGCAAGGGAAGTAAAGTAGCCTGTTCAAGTAAAACGGGCGTTTCCACAGCGGAAATCACTCGGATCGACGCTAAAGCACTCGCCGCGACAACAGCAAGCGCGGGAGTTATCTGCCTTTCGGCAGTAATTTCCAAAGGTAAACTGCCAAGAAGGGAACATAATCGCTCGTAGGCCGTGAAAATCGACACTGCGGCGTTGTCGAAGGCGACTTGGAAGTCCTCCACACCTTCCTTTTCATCTTTAATGTGTTCAAGCGCATAAGATGTGATTGCGGCGCGATTTTCCTCCCTTTCTTCTTCCTCCTCTTTGTCTCTTCGCAGTGTAATTGGGCTTGATGTCATGGCAACCAAGCGAACTCCAAGCTCTCGCTGGCACCGGCAAAAATAGCCCTGAAGTATCTCCGCAGTAGCCTTCTTTTGCTCATTTTCTCGGTTGATGGACTCAATTAATTCGATAAAATCCTCCGGATCGTCTGTGGGCTCGGCTGCTGGAAGTGGAGCCGGGGTTAAGCCCTGCACAAGCGCACTCACACCCTCACAGACAACTTTCACTGCCTCCTCTTCTACATTTGAGGAAGCAGAAAGAGCCCCCAAAAGATACTCGGCAACGCTAGAAAGGAGAGAGAAAATCGAACTATTCGGCTTACAATGCAAAAGAATGTGTTCCGTCGTGGATTCCATTGAGGAGGTGATAATTCTACACGACGCTACAACATCTATCGTGTTCGTATCACTCAACACAGTTGTAAGTGCGGAGAAAATGAGCTGCTCAGCTGTGGGATTAACAATATTCAGACTACGAAGCGCTCCGCATAAAACTTTTTGTGATGTCGTGGCCAATCTCTCGTTTGGAGCATTCAGATGACAAAGCGCCCAGTGCCATAACGAGGAGGAAGGAAGTTGATGCCAAAAATCCGTCGCAAGCTTCTGTGGATCAGCCACCGTACCGAGTGTAAGAAATTCAATCCCTTTGGCAACGGCCTCGGCTTGCAAACATGCTAAATTCTCACTAACCGTGGGTATGGGAAAGAGGAGCATATCTAGCTGATTCTGAAAATGTTTTCGTTGCGTGGCTCGTCGAATAGGGCCGATGGGAACACGATCGTCTGACAAAATATCAATAACTGATAGAAATACTTGAAAAACATCCTCCAAAGTACTCAACGTAGTTGAGTTTGATGATAATACAGACATGAATAGAGCCCGTAAGGTGTCAGCTATGTTGTCTTCCAAAAGTACTAAAAGGCAACCCCAACACGCAATGAGCTGCCGGCGCGTAAGAGCAAGTAAAGGAGAAGAAGAATTACATCCTGATGAGGAAGATAAAAGAAGAATGTCCTGATAAAACTCTGCCAGCTCGCGAAGCCCCGTCGGTCGTCTATCCAACGGCCGCGCAAGCGCCGCTGGAAGGAGCTTTAAGCACACCATACGGTTGAGAATACTAACAAACGAAAGTATCGAAGAGCCAACCACGCTGCCGTTTTTGTAGTTTTCCAGTGAATATTGTAATAGACGTGGAGCTAAGGTATGCATCATTGGCTTCGGAATCCACGTCTCTCCTCCTAAAGAGTCTTGGAGTTGCTGATAGAGCGAAAGATTTGCTGAAACATTCCCGTCGTGAACAAAACGCTGAATTGCTTCCCACGCAGTACACAGTGAAGTTTCATCGGACATGAATAGCTACAATTAACTAAAACAATCAGCGTTCATTAATTACATAAATGAGGTGATAAATTATATCTTACTTTTCAACGCAGTAAAATTGCTTTGTGTTTTTATATTCTCCACATTTGGTATTTTGTATTAAATTGGTAATTTACCTATAAGTGTTTTTTCTATTTCCTTTTTAAATTAATCACATTTAACTTACTGAGCACAATGAGGATCAGAAGTTAATAAGAGAAAAATTCTAAGATGAATAAACTAGGAAAAAAAATGATGAATAAGAGGAGATAAAATGACCAAGAGGTAGATATCCCTTAGGTAGTTTGTCACTATAGGATATAGGTTGAACGGTGAAGCCTGAAAATTATCAGAAACTAAGCTCAATTGTATTGTAATTTTAGAGGTTGAGTGATCTGGGGGAAAAAAGGAAGTTACCACTCTCTTCCCTTCACCTTTGTTCATATTGGTAGCAGGAGTTTGCCTAATATAAAGCTAAACAGCTCAACATGCATAATTGTTAACTATACGAACCTTAGTTTCCTATAAATAAATAAAAATAAAAAAAGCTTAATTCGAAGGTATAAAAAGTTCGAGTTTACCCCTTTAAACAGGAAATAAAAACATCCCATACGAGATATCGAATGCTATCCTTCCAGAAAAGGGGTATTGAATGGGCGTTCAATTTATCACCGCGAAATGTGGTTAGTATAAGCTTTAAAAATCTAGTCAACTCCCTACTGCCTACCATTTTAGTTTATTTAATCCCACGGCACTACACTCACTTACTCCACCTTTTTCTTTCAAAAAAAAAAGAGAAAAAGGAGAGACCACACACACAAAAAATCGTATTATCTCTTAGGCCATAAAATTTTTCATGATAGAAATGCCAACAAAGACCGCGATGTATATCCAATACTTCTGCAAGAAGGTCTGCTCCTCCTCAACAACCTCCTTCTCCTCCCACTCATTATTCTCATTCTGCACGCGCTTGGTTACTGTTTTGCCCTTTCCTTTTTTAGCATTCGTCGGGGGTTGAGATTGATTGTCATCCTCGTATAGAACCTTGATATCCATTTCAGTGTTCGCGAGGTTGAGCTCGACCTGGGTTCGCACCATCGGAAAGAGTTTCTCGACGACGTGGAGGTCGCACTCATCGCCGTTGCGCAGCTTTGCGTGATAGAGGTTAGCCTCGCTAGAGATCTGCAGGCCGTCGAGGGAGGCGTTGGGGCCCGGGACGACAAATATGCGCTCGTAGAGCACCACCGTCGAGCTATCCTGCGCGAAAAATCCACGGATGAGGGTGCACGGGGAGACCACCACCACCACCGGGTCCCTTTCCCTTGTTGGAACAGGGTCGGAGGGGGCGGGCTGGTGGAAGGCGCGGTAGTAAACCAAATTGACATGGGCCAGGGCCTGCTTCTCCGGCTCGGAAAGGAGCACGCTGGGCTTGCCGGCCTGCGAGTGCTTGAGCTGGACCGGGGACTGCGGGGTGAACTGCTTCAGCGTGAAGTTCGCGATGTCCTTCCACTCCCCTTCTACCCCTAGCCGACGCTGGAGCCGAAAAGACTGCACGGCGGCTTCAACCGGGGGGGCGGTAGACCCTACCCAGGAAATCAAGAGGAACACCAGAAGAAAGAGACCAGGGCGCATGAGAACGGGAGGGGAGGGGGGGGGTAGGAATAATCAGTAATACACGGAGTGCTGCAGAAAATGACGTGGCTATATTTATCTAATAAAAAAAAACTTTTACGGTGTTGAGGAAATGAGAAGGGAAAGCAGAATAAGAACATCTAGGAAGTCACACACACGCATGATAGATGGAAACCATAATGTTATAAGATAACAGAAACACCTTGGAAAGAAATATAGTTTATTTTATTTGGGATAATCGATTCTTCTCCTTTAAGTATTGACACACCGCAAAGACACATTGAATTAGGCTCACGCACGAATATTTATTTGAAATTTAAACCCTTAAAGGCATCCCAAACAGATACCCTTTATGAAGGCGATTCAGAAGTCTTAGTTTTCTTTAATAAGCATCAATGGAAAGAGCAGCGTGGCGTCACCCTGCACACGTACTATCTCATCGAAATCTTCTTTGATTAAACCATTGAAAATGTCATTTTCTAGCGTGCAGGAGCTCGCACACCCATCCGCTTCTAACCCTGTAGTTATCAACACCATACTATCTAACTGAATATTTCGAAGAAGATGATTTTTTGGAAGCCCGCCACCCAAAATAATACCATAATTTTTCCTGCCATCTGTCAAGTTCGAAGCGCCAAGTGTGCGGAAGTTCACCACATCTTGAATGGGATCGAGTATCAAACCACTTTCCTTAAAGCTGAAGAAATAAACCATATCCCCAATCGATCCATCTGTAATAGCGGGCGAAAACATTGGAATGTTATTTTTATAACACCAATACACTAAGCTTGTTTCTTGATCTTCCTTTGGAATGTTAGATTCTAAGGCACGTCCGATAGCAGTTATTAAATCTGAAGGCCCCGTATACGCAGCTCCTTGTGATGCTTTCTGCATATCCAGAAAAGACCTCAAAACAGGCATGAAAAATTCCTCAAAACGACAGTAATTGTCATTTGGAATGAGTAAATTTCCAATCCGATTAAGCCCGTGCTTGCGAAGCATCTTACCGTTTAGCGAGAACTTTCCAACGTGGGTTTGACCAAAGCACTTGATAACATCCTCCTCAATCCCACCTGCGGAAGTGATAAACGCATCCACAAGCCTTTCCTTCGCGAGAAACATAAAGGTATCTCGCAATCCCGATGAAATTAGATTAGAAGTATATGAAAGAAAAACTTTATCACCTTTCTGACGATGATACAAGATACGTTGAACTAAACGGCGAGCACGGCCAACTTGAGTAGCCTGCAAACCGGTTGATGGTAGATTGCTAACACATCGATACAAGGCCTCGGGTTGAGAAAGAGAAACGAGCTCTTGAAAGTCAACACCTTTCACAATTTCGTTTGACATCAAAAGTTTTGGATCAGGTGAATGTAAGATAGTCAAAATCTAAAACGTCTCAGTTTTCCTTTATTTTAGCTTTAATATAAATTAAAACAAAAAGTATAGAGTGGAGGGGGAAACGCGTATCAAAAAAAAAAAAGATGCCGATATGCATAGTTCGAGAGAAATATAAATAGATTAACATCGTATCGATGGGAACAGATGGAATGCAAAGATAATTTTTTAGTATTTTATTTACTTTTATCATTATGGATTATTAATGTTATACATAAGACTGAATTGCCTAATGTAAACTTAAACGCTGGGTTGAATGTTACTTGTGATTAATTAAACTTACTCAAATTAGTTTATAAATAGTCATAAAAAGGAAATAAAAAACGACTAGATGCAATTGTTTACCTTCATGCCTAAGATCACTACAAAAATTTATAGGCAAGAGGTTTAAAAAAGTATAATTCAACCAGTTCCAAATAAATGTCCTAATATAATGATTAGTCAACAAAATTGCAACTAAACCATAAAGAGGACTACTGATATTACCATCATTTAGTGTTTAACAACTCAAACCACTGGCGCATGGCATCCGCAATTACCTCCGGCAAGCTCTCCAGCTCCCGCACTATAAGATAATACGGAAATGGGAAATCTTCCATGTAAAGGCGACGAATAACCTTCCCTTGCTTAAACTCAACAATCTGCATATCCAAGATTGAATTAGATTGCACACGTTTTAGACGAGCTTCGCGATCAGCCTTTAGACGACGTAAACGCTCAGCTGTGGATAGTCCTTTCAAATCCTCCGGCAAGAGAAGTTTAGGGGTCGAAACAGCAGCATTAGCATTAGTACTAGCAGGAGGAGAAGCTCCGCTGATTTCGTTTTTAGTATTTCCCATTTTGAGATCTAGCAACGTGAACACCACCATCTGATGGTTTTCTTCCGCTCTCACCAATAGCTTACGAAGCTCCGTGCGATCCTCGGTGATTTGTCCATCACTGATAATGAAAAGAATCTGCTGATGTTGTTGCGTGGTCGAGCGCGTTTGCCCTTCAGCGCGTTCACGTGCTTTATCTAAATAATCCAAGGTTGTTTCCAAAAACAGCTTCAGATTTGTGCTCTTTTGTGTGAAGCTGATCTCGCTAAACGCGCGCGCTCCGCTATCCGCAATAAAAGCCTCCTCCATCGGGTGAATAATCTTTGTTTCCTTTCCAAAGCAAGTGATCCCGATCTCTCCGACCTCAAGCTGTTGAAGAGCTTTCGCGAGCAGCGCAACTGCGCGGCAGGATAAAACTCCGGCGTTATTACACTGCATGCTAAGTGAATCATCCAAGGCGACCATGATCTGATAGGTTCGTCGACTTGGCTTCGTTCGACGGAGCCAGATGCGATCTTTCTTGAACTGGGAAGCGATGTACGGGATGATTCGCTTCAGATTAAGCCGCTTGCCGGTCTTGTAATCACCTTGAAGCTTCTCCGCGCGGGTGGGTGTGAGCACCAGGCGGAGCTGCTCGCAGAGCTGCCCGGCGAGGCCTTGCACGGCGGCCTCCTGGGCCTGCCATAGCTCCCGCCCGCGCTCCAGCCGTGCGTCCTGCAGGTCCTCTTCCTCTCCATCTTTCTTTTTGTCCTCCTCCTCCTCCTCCTCCTCTAGAGGCTCCGCACGGGCCGTTGCGGCGGCCGTTCGCTTTTTTTTCCGCCTCTTTTCCGGCGATCCCTCCTCGTCCTTGTCCTCGTCCTTCTGCTGGGCCCCCTCCGGGGGCTGACGTCGTCGGCGGGAGCGATCCGCCGGGGCGTCCTCCTCTCGCTCGTGCGACGCGGCGGGGGAGTCCAACGCGTCCTCAGCCTCGTCCGGTCGCGGGGGGTTCGGCGGCGGCTCGTCCGCGGCGGCCATCCCCTCCCGCTCGCCCTCCTCGTCCCAGTCAAAGGGCGTGGGT